TTACCTTATTTACATTATTAGCAAGCTGTGCAATCCCCTTGGTTGGTCATAAGCACCTTATATTTGCATAGTCCCTCCCACTCGTCTAGTGGGAGCCAGAGACCAGGGCTAGAAGGGTCTTTCTAAGTAACCCTTTGTGTGCACTGAGCCCTGTGTGCTGCAGTTAGCTACGGTGCTCGCTGCTAACCATAAGGTTGGAAGTTGGAGTCCACCCAGAGGTTTCTTGGAAGAAAGGCCTGGCAGTGGATTCCAGCAGACGAGCCCTGGAGCTCCCTGCATGTGGAGCACAGTTCTGTTCTGACGCACGGGGCCACCATCAGTTGGAATTGATGGTAACTAGCAAGCGCAGTGAGGGATCTTGACTTGGAACCTCAACAAAGGACAGTAGTGGGGAAGGTGGGGAACTCAGTCTGTCTGTTGGTTAATAGTAGCGTACCGGTGTCAGTTTCTTAGTTTTGACAAGGGCACCAGGCAACGTGGGGTGTTCACATTAGGGCGAGCTGGATGAGGGGTACACAGGGACTCTGCTGCTATCGTGACTCTCTTGCAAATCTAAAAGTACTGTAGAACGTGTGTGGTTGGTTGGTATGCGAAAACAAAGGTCGACTGTTCTGGTTCCTGGTGCCGCTCTAACAGAAAACACACCACAGATGGGACGGCTTGAGCAAACAGTAGTTTATTCTCATAGTTTGGAGGCTTTAAGTCTGAGTTCATAGTGCCAGGCTCCAGGGTCTGGGTGAAAGCCCTTCGACCTTGGGCTTCAGCTCTGCCTTCTGCTCCCAGCCCACTGGATCTAAGGGCATCTCTTCACTCAGGCAGCTACTGGCTGCTGAGGCTAACAAGCCCAAGGTTGACAAATAAAAAGGCATAGTCCCAATATTTCCAAACCATATGGGCAGCCATTCATTCAAGTCCATTGAAAGCCCCAAGGTCAACAGACTGCTGAACAAAACCCGGCTACATGGAGGGTTCAAGTGTGTCATAAGCTAGAGACCATTCCTAAAGCTGTTTCTTATGTACAGAGAGCAGACCACATAGTCAAAGCAGCTACTCAGCTGTTCCCATAAATTCCACCATGGAGTTAATTACCAGTCTCACCATGAGGAGTAACTACCACAAGCTGCCCCGCCACTCAACAAGGCCCAGCCAAGTTGACACACAAACATAACCACCGCATCAACCTTCCATGGCATGAGGTCCCCAAACAGGGAACAAGACTGTGCATGATGTATGAAACTGTGTGCGTGTGCACGTGTGCATACACGTGTGTGGTGTGTACTCGTGTATGCCTCTGCATGTGGGGGGAGAGACCACAGTGGTGGTCAGTTGCTTATTTTTGTAACGTTTTTTTCTTTGTAGCATTCAAATGTGTTACAGTGAGCATGTTTGTAATCGTAAAAAAAAAAAGTCCTCTTCAATGTGTTAAAAAAAAAAATAGTAATTTCATATAACACACTTGTCAGTCACTGAAGTAGTCTTCAGTGAGCCCTGGTGGTGCAGTGGTTAGAGCACACAGCTGCTAACCAAAAAGTCAGTGGTTCAAACCCACCAGCTCTCCTCAGTGGAAAGATGGGCAAGGCATTTGGCTGCTAACCAGAGGTCAGGGGTTCAACTCCACCAGCTGCTCTTTGGGAAGAAGATGACACAATCTATTTCCATAAAGATTTACCGCCTTGGAAACCCAGTGGGGGTCGCTATGAGTCAGAATCAACTCGGTGGCAGTGGCAGTAGGATTTAGTATGTCTGTTTTGTATTTATAATATTTATACTAACATTACGGCACGTTTATTACAATTAATGGACCGATGTTGATACATTGCTGTTAAGGTGTGGATTACACTGCAACATAAAACACAAAGCCTCACAACCAGACCAATAGGCATCATTATGACGAACAGAAGCTTGAAGTTGTCAAGGATTTCATTTCACTTGGATCCACAACCAACCTTCACCCAAGAAGCACTCAAGAAACTAGACCTTGTATCCTGTGGGGCAAATCCGCGAGAGTCCTCTTCCATGTGTTAAAAAGCAGAAGTGTCACTTTGAGGACTAAGGTGCACCTGACCCACGACCTTGACCTTTCAGTAGCCTCATACCATACGTATGTGAAAGGTGGACAGTGAGTAAGGAAGAACCGATGCATTTGAATCGTGATGTTGGCAGAAAGTACTGAAGGTACCACAGAGTGCCAGAGAACAAACGACCCTGACTTGGAAGAAATACGGGCAGAATGCCCCTTGGAAGCGAGACTAGCCAGCCTTCATCTTTCATACTTTGGTCACGTTGTCAGAAGGGACCAGTCCCTGGAGAAGGATGTCATGTTTGGTAAAGGAGAGGGTCAGCAAGAAAGAGGCAGCCCCTTGGCAGGATGGGTTGGCGTGGCAGCCGCAGCAGTGGCTCAGACCCGGCAGTGACTGGCAGTGGCGCAAGACCGGGCAGCATTTCATTCTCTCCGTGGGGATGGTGGGGTCGCTGGCAGTCGGAACCAACTCAGTGGCGTGGTTTTTTCCTAGCGTCTTGTCTGCTCCTGGACCCCACATTACCATGTCTCCTTAACTGCCTCTGGGCTGTGAGTTTCTCAGACTTTGCTGTTTCTATTGGCCTCAGCAGTTCCAAGGAGGACTGGTCGGGTGTATTGTAGGATGTCCGTCAGCTGAAATTTGTCTGACACGTTTCTCGCGATTGGACAGGTTAGAGGTTGGGAGGAAGGCCACGGAGCGGAGGTGCTTTTTCATCACAGCACGTCAAGGGTACATCCTGTCCACACGACGTATCCCTGCTGCTGTTGACTTTGATCCCTTGGCTTGATGTTTTTAACTTGGAAGGATCTTCTTATCTTAACGAGGTTCACCTTTATTTATTTTGACTTCACCGAACAGACATGTTTTCTCACAGTTTAGGAGGCTGGAAGTCCCAGGTTCTGGGCACCAGCGCTTGGGGGAGGCTTTCCCTCTG